TGCAGGTGGAGAAGAGCACCGGGAGCTCACAGCGGGTATTTCTGTCCACACTACGTCAGCCCAGTCTGAGCCCTGGGCCCTCAGTGCCCCTCAAATCCATCCATGGTCAACCTGGCTCCAGCCTGGCCACAGCCTCAGTCCCTGGGGGAGAGATCGGGAAGAGATCGATGGAGCTGTGGCTTCTAATTTTGGCCAAGAGGAAGTCCCCGTTGAAGAACAGCACTGTTGTCCAGCACCATGCTGGAGTCCACGGATAGTAACTGGCACTTGAGGAGCACGGAGATGAAAGGAGAGAAGAGGATGGGGCCGCCAGAGAGACCACCGAGATCAGTGTGTTTTGGCAGCCCAAGAGCGAGGGAAGAGAGTGGGAGCAGAGGACAGTGGGCGCAACCGGAGCAGGAAAGGGGGACGGGGGTGAGGGACAGCGTGTCCTGCTGTGTCCCTTCTCTCTGGAGAGATCATAGCTCTCTGCAAGAGAGTGGGGAGAGAGGTCAAAGGGTGGAGGATGAGGGACAGCCAAGCTTGGACAGGCCCAGAGAGAGGGGAAGGAGTTGGCTGAGGGCAGGGCGTGATGGTCGGACACACCAGGAGTGAGAGAAAAGGTGTTTGGTGACAACAAGAGGGGACACACTGGCAGCTGTCCTTGCAAAGTGGACCGTGGGCTGCTCCGGACAGGCTCTGTCTCACCGATGTCTCCATCGTCCCTCAAATCCTGGACAAATGAATCCCTGGGGAAGAGGGAGGAGGGAGATGAGGAGAGACACGAAGCTTTTCCCACCCTGGAAACCGTCTCCACTGACATCTAGTGGCAAAATAGTCCTTTCCCTGGTAGAGAGGAGAGCTGGCTCCTCCAGGCGCTGCTGCCTCCCTGCTGCTCCCCACGAGCGATGCTGGGGTGGGTGTTCGAAGGATCATAGTTTTACCAGCACTGTACTGGTCATACTGGTATTCCCTGCATGGTTTGCCTGGCTACGTCTCAATGAGGCAGCAAAGCGGTGCCGAAAAACACAGGCCCCAACACACCATTGTTGGTGCAGCGACACTGTTAACGGGGCCCTGGCAGGGTTTGGGCCAGGAGTTAGCACGGGCCAAACCTCAACAGGGGTCTGGATGCAGCCACCCTGTTTGGGAGAGAGCTTAAACAGCTGGATGAGGGCTGGGCCATGTCAGACACCCTCACTCACGCTCCCAGGCAGCAAAGGTCCCACTCCGCTCTCCGTCTTCCCTTTGAGGGTCGGTACCAGCTCCAGAGCAGAGGCGCCTTCTCCACCTCGCTGTTCCCAGAGTGATGCTGATTGCTGCCCAGCATGTTTATGGGGCCCTGATCTTTGCTCATCAACTTCTCATGACCTGAGCAGTCCAGCCCGAAAACAGAGGCAGTGTGGGAAGCGGCTGCCAAGCAGACCAGCCTGTGGCAATGCCTCTTGGTGGGGACACAGGGGGCATCAGCTGTCTAATTTCGAACCACCACTGGCCCTAACCTGCAATCCACTACTGTCAGCTACCTACAAACAAGAGAGCAGCCATACTGGCTCAGAAGAAATCTAGTCCAGAGTTTCCTTCTGTAGCCAAAAGCCCAAAGAAAACTGAAAATGTGACAAACCTGTTTGCAGCGAACACCCAGCTCCCACTGCCTTCGTCTGCTCTTCGCAGGAGCACCGCGAAGAGTCAGACCTTGCCCATCCTCTCGAAGCTTGTGTGGGTTGGTAGATCTCGGCCACATTTTATCTTTCCCAGGTTGAGTCCCAACCTGCACAGCTTACTTCACGCAGAGGTGCTCCCAGACCTGTAAGCAGCCCTGCTGCCCTCCTCTGACTCTCTCCCAGGTTTCCTCTACCCTTTTGGAGACAGGATCAGATGTACCCAGTGGGCACACCACAGAATTATTTACAGAGCCACGAAATGATGGTCTCCCAGGTCTTCTTTCTTTTTTGATAATTCTAACATTTAATTTCTTCTTTTGTTGCACAGACCCCTGCAGCATCCATGTAAGGAGCAGAGCTGTGCAATGCCCCTGCCTTTGCCCATGGCCGCTCAGTTTCTGTAAAGCCTCTGGCAAGGCTCTCCAAGAAAAGCCTTACAGAAAGCCAAGCAGCTCATTTCAACCTTTTTGACCTTATCCCCCTATCTTCTGGCTTCCTTCTGGGAGGTTTGCAAGCCAGGACTTCCCTTTGCTGACTCTTCCCAAACAGACCATATTTACCCACTAGTGTGCGGGTATTCTATTTCATAGAATCATAGAATCATTAAGGTTGGAAAAGACCTCTAAGATCATCGACTCCAACCGTCAACCCAACACCACCATGCCCACTAAACCATGTCCCTCAGCGCCTCATCTACACGTCTTTTAAATACTTCCAGGGATGGGGACTCCACCACTCCCCTGGGCAGCCTGTTCCAATGTTTAACCACTCTTCCAGTAAAGACATTTTTCCTCACGTCCAACCTAAACCTCCCCTGGCACAACTTGAGGCCGTTTCCTCTCGTCCTATCGCCAGTTACTTGGGAGAAGAGACCGACCCCACCTCGCTACAACCTCCTTTCAGGTGGTTGTAGAGAGCGATGAGGTCTCCCCTCAGCCTCCTTTTCTCCAGGCTAAACAACCCCAGCTCCCTCAGCCGCTCCTCAGCAGACTTGTTCTCCAGACCCCTCACCAGCCTCGTTGCCCTTCTCTGGACACGCTCCAGCCTCTCGACGTCCTTCTTGGAGTGAGGGGCCCAAAACTGAACACAGTATTCGAGGTGCGGCCTCACCAGGGCCGAGTACAGGGGCACGATCACTTCCCTGCTCCTGCTGGCCACATCATTTCTGATACAGGCCAGGATGCCATTGGCCTTCTTGGCCGCCTGGGCACACTGCCGGCTCATGTTCAGCCGGCTGTCGACCAACACCCCCAGGTCCTTTTCCGCCAGGCAGCTTTCCAGCCCCTCTTCCCCAAGCCTGTAGCGCTGCATGGGGTTGTTGTGGCCGAAGTGCAGGACCCGGCACTTGGCCTTGTTGAATCTCGTACAGTTGGCCTCGGCCAACTGTATCAGTTCTACCCATTATTATTATTTCTAATTGAAATGGCACAACCAAACCCCTACAATCCCTGAACTGTTTCAAAAAAAAAATTGCCACTTTCCCCATCTTTGGCCAGCACAGAAGTTTTAAGCGAGAAATCCCATCCTGCTGTTACTAATTTAACCCAGTGCCCAGACTACAGAGGTGATGATACCATCGTAGGAGGAAAAAAACCCCACAGCAAATCTGCCCTGGAGCCACAACTGTCCTATTAACTGAATTGTTTGTCTTGCAGCGAGGCGTAGGGACCACAGCCCTGATGCTCGAGATGCTGCACACATACAGTAGGAAAGACCTGCAATAGCTTTAAGTTTACAGTTAGCCATCATCCATATTTACAGTTAACTATAAATAGTTAATAGCTATTATTAAAATTTACATAAAGCAGCAAATTACTGGATAACTACAGCATCCTCTGGCAGCAAAGACTCCTGATGTTTCCCTGGAAATAACCAAACAGCCTGTGATTTTCACACCTTTTTCCTGATGGGCGTTTCCTTCATCTGGGACTGCCTAAAAAAAAGGTTAAAGCGACAGAAGCAGCCTGTTAGGAGAGGGCTCTGCGGCTCCCCTCGCCTCCCACCGGCTCTGGAGCTGTGCTCCCCTCACGCCTGGGGTGGCCGGCCGCGGTGCCGTGAGGGGAGGGCCTCTTCACCATCGGAGCCGGCCTCCAGGTAGAAAATCGGGGTGAATTATCATGCTGCTAACTCCTGTGCCCGTTTATACCGGTTTTATAGCCGTTTTAATGCCGGCTCTGGGCGTTCACAGCAGCCTGACAGGGCGGAAAAACCCACTGACAGCGGCAGGGTTAAGGCTCCCCAACATGGCGGCGCGCCAGCCCACCAGGAAGACTACGTTTCCCATCGG